AGCAGGCCGAGCTCTGCACAGCCAGCTGCAGACACCGGGCAGTGGGACCCATTCTGGGCTCAGCAGGGCTGGGCAGGGGCCTAGGAACCTGCATTTAGAATGTTTCTCGGGAGGGTTTGATTGCACAGTGTTCTGAGAACTGGGATCTTAATTTCTGTGAAGATTTATTTATTTGAAAGGTAGAGTGAGAGAGAGAAGGAGAGAAATAGAGAGGGAGAGAGAGGGGAGGGGGAGGAATAGAAAGAAAGTGGGAGAGCGAGAGCCTCAGTCTTCCGGTGACAACCAGAGCTAGGCCAGCTTGAAGCCGACATCCGCAACCTCCATGCTGGACCCCACGGGCAGTGTCAGGGACCGAGTACTTGATCCAGCACTACCGCGGCCCAGGGTCGACGTTAGCAGGAAGCCGGACCAGAAGCAGAATGAGAGCAGCATTTATTGCCTAATTTGTTTAAAATTGTGTTTTTTGGAAACACCTGTTAGAAAGAATGAAAGAGAGGCAAGCTCACATCAGTTAGTTCACTGCCTAATTGCCCCACAGCCCTCGGCCAGGCTGAAGCTGGGTACTCAACCTCAAAGTGCCCCACGAGTGGCCAGAACCAACAGCTGGAGCCATCCACACTGATCTAGTGTCCACGTTAGCAGGAGGCTGGGTCAGGAGCAAGAGCTGGGACTGGACTGAGGCAGTCTCATGGGGACATGGATTTCAGATGCCAGCTCTGACAAGTGTCCTTGGCCGTGCTCCCGAGACTTCACAGCCCACAGGCCACTCTGGGGGTCTTCCTTACAAAGCAGACCTGACTCACACTCTTGGCCTGAGCTGCTGACAGTCCCTGGTGCTGTGGCTCCTGTGGGTCCCAGGCAGTCTCCATGCCGACAGTGGGGAGACTGGCCTCACTGCTCCAGGTACATCTCAAATCCCTGGTGCCAGGGGGCATCCTGTGGCCCAAGGGCCGGCAGTGGTGTGGGCTAGTGAACGCTGATGAACTTTGATTCAGAAGAGCATGGTGTCTAGCAGTCAAGCTGATGGTGGTTCTGCGTGTGACTGCCGAGCCGAGCCGCAGGGCTGACCCGTAGCTGGTGGAAAAGAGGTCGGGCAGGACTGCTGTGAGCAGTCGTACTTGGTGTGGGCTCCAGGGTACATGGCTCGCTGCAGCCAGTGGCAACACCTAGCGGGAGCTGCTTGTGGGCTTGAGGCTGCCCAGTGCAGTCCACGCCTGTGGCCACGGGGATCTGCCTCTTGTACAGGGTGGACATGGCCTCCACTTGGGGAAAACCTGCCTTCAGCCCTTCCCCTGCCCCAAGCAGCACCACCTTCTCTTCCTGCAGGCCGACGCACCTGATTGAGGACAAGGGCCCTAACAGAGTCGGGCACCAGCCGGCCACTCCACATGAGCACAGCGCAATGGCGCCTCATCGTGGCTTTGTGGAAAGCCGGGTTTCCCTCTGTGGGGCAGAGATGTCCTCCCATCACGGTCACACTGCAGTTTCCAGGGCTTGCAAGAAGCTGTCATATCCATGGCTATCGCAGTGGTCCAGAGGGAGAGTGGTCAGACATTGAATCTCTGCCAGGGAGGAATGGAGGATGTCCCTGGGAACAGGCTTCAGGTCCCAGGACATAACGGGCGGATGAAAGACACAACGTGCCGCATTTCTTTAGCAACCAGCGCCTGGGCTGAAGAATCGGTTGGGGATCAAGGACTTGGTTTTGTAAGTTAAGTATCTGGGGTTTGAATCCAGGCCCAGTTACTCCAGCCCATGCCACCTTGGGCCAGTGACACTCACTGCCACTGACGGGGCTTCCCCTCTGTGCCATGAGGGCAGCGGTCACTGTCCCCTGTCCCTTCCTGAGGGCTTGCTGAGCTGCTGGAGCCCTTGCTGGGCATGTGGCCTCTGAGGAGGCATGGTAGTCAGACTGGCACTGCTGGCCAAGGCGGCTTCCGGCCCAAGGGGTACGGCCAGCGCTGAGCTGTGGCAGCTGCAGGAACCGCGTGAGTGCAGAAGGAAGACCACCCCCCATCGCGGGGTGGAGGGATGTCAGAGGGTCCAGCACCAAGGCACGCATGCGGTGAGGCCCGGGGCCTGCAGGGAGGCCACGGGCACATAGTGCATTGCTGGGGGTCGCCTCTCCACTACCCACGCCCTGGGTAACAGTGTGAATTCGGGCATGAGGAGTGGGGCGAAACCTCACTCTACCCAACCCGGTCTCCCGCGGGTGGGATCAGAAAGGCCCCCGAATGAGTCGCACCAGAGTGACGGCGGAGTAAGATGCCATCAAAGGTCAGACGCCTTCCCCATTGGTTCACAGTGACAAGGGCATTTTCAGGAACTCTCCAATAGGATCCTCTCGCGTTTCCTAAACTTTGTGGAAAAGACACTGTCCGTGTCAGGATAGCGGCGTGGCGAGGAGGAAGTCGGCACCGCTGTAACCAGTGCAGTCTGGCCGGCTCCGCTCACTCCCCTCCGATTGAAATCCAGAGCCAGGCATGGCCTCCTGCCCTGGCAAAGCCCAGCAGGCGTCGGGAGCCACCTCCTCCAGGGGGCCTTGCCCTGGCCACTCCCCACCCACAGGCTCTGGCTCCTGTTGGAATGGAGGTTGCGCCCTCGCCATGCTGGCTGACTGGGCCGCAGGAAGTGTGCATGTGTGTGTGACCATGTGGGTGCCTGTTAGGGGGTTTCTGTCTAGAACTGTGGTCATTCATGGCCCCCTCCCACACACGGTCTACGAGGCAGGTGTGTGGAGCCCGGGGTCACGCCTCACACCTGTCAGTGGGACCACGCCTTCCTCTCAGGCCGCTCTGTGCGTGGTGCGCCACCTCTCTGTAGCAGGCTGCTACTTCACACCCAGGACTGGCTACTCCATGTCCACGTCCCCACAGAAGAGCTGCTTGAGACCAGAGGCCTCTCGTCTTGTCCATCCCCGGACCGCAGATCTGCGGGCTCCCTGCGTGACCTTGGGGAGGCGAATGCAGCGTGTCCTGGCTACACCCAGGATGTGCAGGCCACACCAGCGAAAAGGCAGGACTCTCAAGGCTGCCGTGAGCAAGGGCAGGCAGATGGTCAGTGCTCAGCTTTCCTGCTCTGTCTTCGTTCCTGCTGTGGCCATGACGGGCAGAGGCTTCCCACCCACTTGGGTCACACTACCCATCCTACAAGCCACAGGTGCTGGGTCCAGGCCTTCAGTGCCCGGGCACCAATGTCTCCTTGCCCTCTGTTTTAGTCCTGGCTGTCCCTGGACTTGACCTGCAGGCATAGCCTCAGATGCCCACTCACTTCCGCTCTGACTGCTCCCTGGCCGCAAGCTTTCCTCATCAGCTTTGGGGAAATGACCCAGCAGGAAAGCGTGGTTTCCGGTTCCGGCTAGGCCTAAGCAAAGGGCAGGCCATGGGCCACAAGCTTGCAAAATTGTTCTGGGCCGCAGCAGCCAGCAGCACTAGGCATCTGTCCCAAAGCCATGGCCATGCAGGCCACCTGTCGCAAGATGTTGGTGATAGCACATCCCTGGGATGGCCAGGCCCAAGCCCACGGGCCCACTCGGCAGCCGCTCGGGCCCGGGCACCCACAGGCCCACTCGGCAGCTGCTCGGCCCTGTGCGGAAGCTGCTGCTGGGAGTGGGTTTTCTACGCATGGTGGTGCTGAAAATGGAGATGATGGGATTATTAACAGCAGGCTGCGCAGCCTGGACTCCTAATTGCCTCGGGTGTGGAGAACTGACAAATGAGCACTGTGGAATCCGAATGTGCCAACTTGGAGCCTGGGGAAGGCGGGCCCTGGGCGTGTGGTCGGTGACACTGCCTTCAGGCAGTCGGTGTACAGCAGAAGCTGGACTCCACACTCAGAGAGGTGAGGGGCTCTTCCACGGGAAGGCTGGGGTGCAACGAGGCAGGGCCGCCCTGCTTGGAGAAGGCTGGGCACCATGGAGGCCAGCTTCCTTCCTGCAGGACGGCTCAGAGCCTTTGACGTGTTGCAGTGACGGATGCTTCTCAGTGCTTCCAGCTCTAGTGCCAGAAGCTGTGCACTTGACCTTGTTGGGTGCCATCCACATGCCCAACATGGGCAGCCAGAGCTCAGCGTTGAACACTGTCCTGCCCTCCGCTGCCCACACTGACTGGAGGCGTGGGTGGAGTGAGGGCAGTCCATGCACCCACTTCCCATGCTGGAAAGTAGAGGCTCACAGTGGAAATGAGCTCCCCCTACCTTGACCTCATCTCTCTCTGCCCATCTCCCATCCCTGTCTCTCACGCTCCAGGGGTCCTGGGTGAGAGCGGAAGAAGCACGGGCCATTGGCAGGGTTCACGGTGCAGTGTGGCCTCATACATGTTATTTCATAGGTCCAACCCTTGGCCGTACCACTGTGCAGTTGTGAGACTTTGGACAACCTGTTTGACCTCTCTGTGCTCACAGCTCTGTCTGTGAAGAGAGATGACAGAGCCCCTAGCTCACAGGTCAGGTGATGGGTGCCGGGGTGTGGGCCTCCTGGGACCTCAGGTCTGCCCTGGCACTGCCCACGAGCTGGAGCCCTTCCCTCCTCAGGTGCGTGAGGACAAGTGGCCAGCAGATGGCAGAAGCGATCCAGAGTGACCTCTGCAATCCCGGGAGCTTGGGCATGTGTGTGCACACGCAGCTCATGTGTTGACTTTCACGTACATGTAAGGAACACAGCACGTGTAGACAGAGGCCTGTCTCAACAGGCATGGCTGTGTCCATGCAAGTGAGCAGACACACACACAATGTGTGCGTGCATGCGCCGTGTGGTAAGTGGCCCTTTGTAGGTCACTGGGCTGATCCTATTAAGGAGGGACCATTCCGAGGCGTGGGAGTGACCTCATGCAGGGAACCAGCTGAGTCTGAGAGGACGCAGCCTTTGTCCCCTCTAGGGGATGCAGCTAAAGGATCACCTTGGAGGCGGAACAGGCCCTCCACCAGGCACTGTGCCTGCCGGCACCCCAGAAGCATGAGAACGTCTTCTGTGCTAAGTACCTAGCTGGGGCTTCCTGCTCCTTCAGCAAAGAGGACCTGAGAGACACAGCTTGACAGGTGCCCACGTGTCTGAGCACATCTGCCTGCTGAGGGCAGGTGCCCATAGTCTGTGCACATCTGCCTGCTGAGGGCAGGTGCCCACGTGTCTGAGCACATCTGCCTGCTGAGGGCAGGTGCCCATAGTCTGTGCACATCTGCCTGCTGTGGGCAGGTGCCCATAGTCTGTGCACATCTGCCTGCTGAGGGCAGGTGCCCACGTGTCTGAGCACATCTGCCTGCTGAGGGCAGGTGCCCACGTGTCTGAGCACATCTGCCTGCTGAGGGCAGGTGCCCATAGTCTGTGCACATCTGCCTGCTGAGGGCAGGTGCCCACGTGTCTGAGCACATCTGCCTGCTGAGGGCAGGTGCCCATAGTCTGTGCACATCTGCCTGCTGTGGGCAGGTGCCCATAGTCTGTGCACATCTGCCTGCTGAGGGCAGGTGCCCACGTGTCTGAGCACATCTGCCTGCTGAGGGCAGGTGCCCACGTGTCTGAGCACATCTGCCTGCTGAGGGCAGGTGCCCACGTGTCTGAGCACATCTGCCTGCTGAGGGCAGGTGCCCACGTGTCTGAGCACATCTGCCTGCTGAGGGCAGGTGACCACGTGTCTGAGCACATCTGCCTGCTGAGGGCAGGTGCCCACGTGTCTGAGCACATCTGCCTGCTGAGGGCAGGTGCCCACGTGTCTGAGCACATCTGCCTGCTGAGGGCAGGTGCCCACGTGTCTGAGCACATCTGCCTGCTGAGGGCAGGTGCCCCCATGTGCATACTCACATACAGGCTGTGGCATCTTTTCTCTCGGTGTCTCCCACCACCCCAGCTTGCTGAGTCCTTGGTAGTAGCGTCAAGTGCTGTGCTCTGCTTTCTCTGTGTGGGCACTTGTTCCCACGTATTGCCCAAGAAGTGGCCTTGGGGTTCAGTTTCTCGGCATGCAGATCTGTGAAGTCATGTTGCTTCATGTGTGAGTCTCCCTGGGGTGGGGACACCCCATTCTGTCCTGTGCTGGCTGGAGGCAGCTAGCAGGCGTGAATTCCTGCCGAGTGCATCTGCCCTGTGTGGGCCAACACACTGCCCTGCTGGCGGCGGGCCCAGGTCCAGGTGCTGCAGCTCCTGCTGCTCCAAGCAGGCACGCCCAGGGCATATCTGACTCAGCCCACTTGGCAAGCTCCATCTGCTGAGGAAGGAACTGTGGTGTGGAGAGGGCAAGGGGCTTGCCTGGGCTCACAGGGCAGCAAGGGGACGCCACCAGGTCTGAGCAGGAAGTCCTGGTGGAAAGGTTGGTGTGAGCAGCCTTGGTACAGCAAGCCAGGGGACCTTGGTGGTGAGAAATGATCCAAGGTCCTTGTGATGAGCCGGGCCCTGCCGAGCCCAGGTGCCCTCACTGCCTTTGGGGAGTTGCCTGCGCCCGAGGGCCCAGTTTCTCATCCACTGCGAGAAGAAGCAGGTGAGGTGTATTTGTAATGCATGAGAGCTCGCACTGCCACTGGGGAGCCTGCTTCCCTGAGTGAGGATGGCCGGGGAGACGCACAGGTGTGCTGGGTAGGACAGGCGAGCAGGTGCTGAGTGTTGGGGAACGGGGTGGCAGTCCACGCTGTTTATGGCACCTTCTGAGTGCTGGCTTTTCTCACGACACCTGTCGCCCCTTCAGAAGCAAATATCCCTACCTGAAATGCAAACTCGGGCAAAAGGAAAGGAATTTTCCAGCACAGCCTGTGTTTGGGGCCCAGCCTGCCTGTGTTGTAAATGAGTGTCGCTTTAAGACAGCAATCCCACCACCAAATGCCGCTTGGAACCACGGCTTGAATTCCTCCAAAGAGCTCGCTCTCCGTGTGGTCTCTCTCCTCTCCCAGCCTGCCGTTTGCTCTCTCTGCCCCGAAGTCCCCGGCTCGGCCATGCTATATGGGGCTGGTCTTGTTTTCTGCCCTAGACACACGGGACAGGGAAGGTCACCTTTTCTTTGGTGGTGTGGGGAGAGGACGGCACGAGCGCCTGCCGTGTGCATTTGTCCCTGTCACCCAGACTTATTACCCAATTAACTTGCGGGAGAGGAGACCAGGCACTGAGCTCTGCCACCCGGCTTCCTTGGCTTGAACATCCTCTTAATGACTTGTCAACTCTCACCCCCGTTCCCTCGCAGAATCGGAACATCGCCGTCACGGCCCTGCCAGGGGAGGCCAAGGCACGTGCTGTCCTGGCAAGGGACAGGCCACTGCAGCCCGTCTGGGGCCTGCCATTCCCAGCTCACTGCTCAGGCGCACTCTGCAGTGTCTGCACCTGCCCTCACTCCCTTCCTGGGGGCTCTGCAGTTGCTCTTGGCATGTGCAGGAGTGGGGGGACGCCCAGACCCCCCCACCTGGGTCCACTCTCCCTCCTCACGTATGCCATGACCTCACTGTGCAATTGCATTTTGTATGTGATGTGTGCTCAGTGGAGGCTAGCCCTGGACGTAAACAGGGCCACCCAGGACTCAGTCTGGGCCCTCACAGGAAGCAGCTGTCTTCAACACTTCCTGTGTCGTGTTTTACCCAGTGTTGGGGACATCTGGGAAACGCCCTGGGGCTTCTGGGCAGTCTGAGGGGCAGGAAGTCCTGGGACTGGGACCTTGCTCTCAGGGCACTGAGGTGCTGGGGAAAAGAGGGGTCTGCATTTGGCTTCATGTAAGCTGCAAGGGAGGGGACAGTTCCCTGCCCCTGGGTGAGGACGGACTTCGGATGGAACTTGTGCATCCTCCTGCCACTGACAGCAAAAGGACAGACCCACCCCAGCAGAGACTGCAGACCCACCCCAGCAGGGACAGACCCACCTCAGCAGGGACAGACCCACCCTAGCAGGGACAGACCCACCCCAGCAGAGACTGCAGACCCACCTCAGCAGGGACAGACCCACTCTAGCAGGGACAGACCCACCCCAGCAGAGACTGCTGGGAATCCTGTCTCTCCCCGATGCCCCATGCAGAGGACTTTGGCTGCCTCTTGCCACAGAAGGCTGGTCGTACTACTGGTGTGCCTGGCTGGAACGCGCCACTTTGTATCTTGCATGGTGCCAGATACGGGTGAGCAGAACTGGTAATTAATTAGAGCCGCAGCTGATGGGCTTGCCCAAGGCTGGCACTCAGGCCAGGCGCCAGGGTGGCGGGAGCCAGCCAGTAGGTAGTCTGTCTGTCCTGTGTGAAACCAGGTCACTCCGCAGCCTTTCCTGCATGACACGAGGGGGCCCGGGATGCCAGGTGGCTGTGTCCCACCTGCCCCCTGCTGCATCTGGCAGGTGCACCTGCTGTGTGCCTTGGCAGCTCCTGCCGCCGCCACATGATGCTGCCCACAGGTGCTCCAAAGCCCATTTTGCAGCCCTGTGCCTGGAGCTGCAGTCTCCATGCTGGCAGGAGAGTGAAGGCAACAGAGGCTCATGGCTGCTCCACGACTGGGCTCAGCAGCTCTGCACTGCTCACGCTGTCTGCCAGGATGGTCACTCGGTGATGCTGTTAATTAAAATCCCAGGACCCAGGGCAGGAAGAAACTTTAAAAGCCCGAAGTCATTTTCCTTAATAGAAATCTGGTTTTGCAGGTGGTCAGAGGGATCAGGCCGAGCAGGAAGATCAGCCAAGTGCAGAGGAACTCGGTGTAATTTAATGTAGTTAACTCGGGGCCTGGCTGCGGAGCAGGGACGCGGGAAGCCTCATCTGTCTGCTGGAGCCCAGGGGCAGGGAGGAGAAAGCGAGGCTTACTTGGACAAAGCTGAAAGTGCGGAGAGGAAGCTTTGCTGACCTTGGCATCTGTGAGCCCAGCGCGGCCAGCCGGCCAGCTCTGCACGGGCTCATTCCAGGCCCCAGCTTTTTCATTGTGAGGTGCTGGCAGCGACGGGGGAGTGGCTGCTTCTGGAATCCACCTAGCCATTTCTCTTGTGTGTGTCTTCTGGCCCACAGCACTGCTGTGCTGGCAGACAGGGGCTGGCAGCGTCCCACGACAGCTCTGGAGTGAGGGGCTCCAGGGGAGCCAGGGGCCTCTGGACTGTGCAGGCCCGGGCTCTGCGGGGGCTGGGAGCAGCTGGGCTCTCGGCAGGAGGTTAGGGGTGCCGGGCTCTGGCCTAGTGCAGGGAAGCCCCTGTTCCCTGGGGCTGGGAAGGCGTAACCTTCAAGAGGAGCGGTGCAAGTATCGGGCTACCATCCATGTCAGTGGAAACCACCCTCCACCCTCCTCCATCCTTCAGCCACCCATTTAAATCCCAAAGAAAGAGACTGAGCAGGGGAAAGTCTGGGGTTGCCATGGAAACCGATGCCTGGCCCATGGTGCGGCTGGAGGCTTTGGTGCAGACAGAGCCCCCATCCTCTGCCTTTGCAGCACTGCCTGCTGTGGGCTAGGAGCAGCCTGGAGCCCTGCCTGCCCTGGAGAGCCCCACCTGCCTTGTGGAGCCCAGCGTGGGGCCCCGGGCACTCAGGTACCACACATTTCTGGCAGCTCAGAGAGGAAATTTCTCTGAAATTTATGTTGAGCTTCTTCTGGAATGCTTCCCAGATCTTCTTCCTGTTGTTTCCTAGGAAGGAACCATCAGGGCACCATCAGGGTGTCTCCCTCCAGCAGGAAGAAGCCCTGGGTGTTCACAGAATGCTCCAGAACGAAGGCCCCTGTCCTCTCCTTCTGTGACCGGCTTGGTCCCACCTACAACCTCCAGTGGAACGCAGAGGACGCGGCTGGCCTTGGGCCCTGATTCCCAGGAGAGAATGAAGCCCTTGGGATCCCAGGGCCAGAGGGAGACTGCACGCCTCCCCTGGCCAGCGGCACTGTCCCCACACGCCTCCCTGGCCAGTGGCACTGTCCCCACACGCCTCCCTGGCCAGTGACACTGTCCCCTCACGCCTCCCTGGCCAGTGGCACTGTCCCCGTGACGGGCTCCCGCACGCCTTCCTGGCCAGGCTCCTGGCTCAGGACACGCCTCCACTTTCTGTTGTGTGAGTGGCAGCTGGGGTGATGGGGCAGCCGGGCCCTCTGGCAGCACACTCATCTTGAAGCACAACATTCACAGATCCGGCGTCCGTGAAACCCCAGGTCTCCCAAGCTCCCGCCCGTGCGTGGCTTCGGCCACACCCTGAGCTCTCACCTCTAATGGAGCCGGAAGCCTGAGAAACACTGCCTGGAAGCAACAGGAAGGTGCGAGGCAGAGCCTTTGCACCAGGCTCCTGCTGGGCTCAACAGGAACATGAAGCAAGCGCAGCCCCTCACAAGAGCTGCTAACAAGCATTGCGGACCACACCAGGAAAGGCCTTCGAGTGACGTCGCAGGGCTCAGGAACAAGCAAGACCAGGACGCCGTCGGCATATCATAGACAGAGAGATAGGTTTGCATAATGGTC